GAAAACATTAACGAGTTCCTCACGAAGGCAGCTGAAGAATTCATTAGCATCAAGGTAGGTTTTCAAAAAATATACAAAGAAGATAAAAATGCGAAAATCAAAATGATTTTCTGTATGCTATAGCTAGGTTACCCATTTTATTTTTATCTGGTTTCAGGTAGCGCTAATTGTTGGTGTGTCGGGTGCATGTAGGAGCGATGAACTAGTCAAGATGAAAATGGAGCACGTCAACGTTTTGGAAGGAAAGATCGCTATAGAAATTCCACACACAAAAACTTACACAAGTCGATCGTTTATCATAAGCGATCCAGATTGGGTTGCTATTTTCCACAAATACCTCACTTTGCGGAAAAATTTGAAAAATGACAGGTTATTTGTTCAATGGCGAAATGGGAAATTACATAACCAAGCAATTGGCTATCATTCAATCTCAAAATTTCCACATAAAATAGCTGCTTTTTTGAAGCTTCCAAAAATTGAAACTTTTACAGGGCATGCTTTTCGTCGTACTTCCGCAACCTTATTGGTTGACAACGGGGCCGATCTATTGCAACTCAAAAGACTGGGAGGGTGGAAATCGAGCACGGTTGCTGAAGGCTACATAGAGGCATCTTTGGAGAACAAAAGTAAGACTGCTCTGATGCTATCCTCTACTTCCAAAGGTATTCAGTTGTCCAGTGCATCCACAAGTACATCACATGCGGAAACTCATCCGCAAGCGCAAGAGATAATAGTTCCAAACGAAACACAATTCCAACAGGATGGTCTCAAGATTTCCATTATAAACAACAATGCTAATTTAACAATTAATGTAAATAAGTGAATAGATTTAATTAGTTCCATGTAATACATGTGGTTTTATTATTATATGTGAGAGCTGTATGAAAATTATCAATTTGGAACGAGCAGGGAAATGGGGACGGAAAAGCATTTGCCGTCCCGGACGGAAAATGCTTTTCCGTCCTAGGCAGGCATATGCATTACCGTCCCGATAAATGTCAAAGTCCAGAAATGTGACACTTTCAAGATTTTGAAAAACCTGCAATGTCAACATTACATATGTGGTTGAAAATAAAATATTAAAAACTAACGCGTGCCAACTGGTATGGCGGGCTTTGAGCCCTACCGGGAAAGTATGGCATTTTGCTGTCGACTAGTTCCTTTTTCATGAACTATCGAAAAATAGAAGAATTTTTGTGTTACAAATCGTTTGAAACCCGCAATTTATCTGACAAGTTCGATCAATCGCCATGCGATAAGGGCCCAACGGCAAGAAAGTTATCACCTTTTTCGTTTTCCTCATTACGTAATTCGACCCCTAGGGGGTCGCCATACCTGTTACAAAAATTCCGATTTTCAATATTTTATGAGCACAATTATGGAAGTATCATGCAAAAAGAAAAATTAAAGTCTGTTTTTTTTAAGATAATTCCCCATGTCAAAAATTTAGTAACTATGTTGGCAACACAAGCCTTTTCTACATAAATAATTTGAAAGCATTGTCAATTTTACATTGTATTACCAACATAATGTCATTTTGACTTTTATCTTAAAAAAAAACAGACTTTATAAATATTGTATAGTTCCGCAAACTGTGTGCCAAACTGTCAGAAGAAAATCAGTTATTATTGCGTTATGCAAAACCGTGTGTGACGGCCTTTAGTCTGTTTCGACTCGAGAGATGCTATGACGTCTCAGCAATGAATTTCCGAGGCAAAATTGTTTTAATATTAAAAAACGCGTAACTTTTTTGATATTTATCCAACTAAGCTGAAATTTTTTCTATGTGCTATATGTGAGTAATACTCCATAAAAATGTGAAAAACCGTGCTTATGAAATTTCTTTGAACGAGCCTATTTGAAATCTTTCAGATCCATAACTTTCTAACCATTTAAGAAAAGATCCAAATAGTCCATACAGTGACAACTTGCTCAAAAGAATCTCATGATCAACCTTATCAAAGGCCTTGGAGAAATCCGTGTAGATTGCATAAATCTGACTGAGACCCTCCCAAGGCCCTTGATAAGTATTCAGTATACTCCAGCAAGTTACCTATAGTGGATCTTCCACTTAAAAAACCATGCTGACTTTGATTAATGTGTGGTTGCAGTAGAGGAGTAATTACAAATGTTACAATCTGCTCAACTATCTTACTGAACAAACATATCGTTGAAATTGCATGATAGTTTTCAAATTCACTTCTTGCCCCACTCTTAAAAATTGGTGTAACAAAACTTGTTTTCCATTTCTTATGCCCGTATTATATCTGTGTATTTTTACGTGTATTTATTCATGTAGTTCAGGGTGACAACTGACAAACATCAAACGCAACATAAATCAGCATTATGAAAAACAAAATAATGTTGGCACCCTGAACTACATGAATAAATACACGGAAAAATACACAGATGTAATACGGGCATTAGAAAAGATTTCAGAGCCCAACGATTTAGAATAAATTTTATGTTACAAAATCGGCAATGCCATATTTGTTAACGGTTTGTTAAAGAAAATGATAAAAAATTACACAGTGGAACATACGATGATGCGTTCCGAAATTATCACCTGGGTAAAACCTTGTGGGACACCCTGTATAAAATCCATAATTTGGAAAAAGAAAGCGAAATGGACAAGAAACTAAAGAAAAGTAGATTGTAGATTGTTCTAAAAGTTATGTCTTACCAGACCTTGTACGGCATAAAACATACAACAGTAATTTTTATATGAGCAACAGCATGTCGTTAGTAAAGGATGGGCCTTTTGAGAAAATTACTTGGAAAATCAAAACTCCACTTTCTTGAGAAATGTTTTGTTCCTGGATGAGACATGGATATTCGCAAAAGGGAGCCAAAACAAAAGAGTTTGGCAGGATTAAACAGAATATTATTTTTCCATTCCACAATAGGTGAAAGAAAAAGATACATGATTCTACAAGCAGGCAATAAACATGAATTTATACCAGAGGTAAGTCTTATATTTTCTGCAGCTTCAAATTCAGAAGACTACTTATCATAATAGCATTAACGCAGAGTTATTTGAAGAAAGTCTTCTGAGAAGACTTGGAGAACCCTCTCTAATAAATACAGGATGCTCCAAAAAAGTCATTTATTCAAATGGAACACCCTGTATATTTTTGCCTCGATTTTTGCATTTTTAAAGAAAGTTAGCTTCACAAAAATATCAAACACTATTTGGACAACAAAAATATATAGGGCGTTCCATTTAAAAAAAAAAACTTTTTGGCGCACCCTGTATACCTATGACGATAAAAAAATATCATTGTAGCAATTAAGGTTGCAATTTATCAATAAATTTTCCAACTTAAACATGCCCTATCTATACTAATAAAATAACGGTAGTTAGTCATCAACTATAAACGCACAGGCCAAACTGCTTCACCTACAATTATGAAAATTGGAAGACGTATCGGGTTTATGACGTAGGCTCTCACTAAGAAAGGATTTTTGAAAATTTCAACCCCAAGGGGGTTAAAATAGGGGTTGAAATATTAAAGAGGATTTCTGCAGCGGGCAATAAGCTAGTTTCCAATAATAAGAAAGTTACTGAGTGTACCAGTTACAAACACCCAGTACACAATATTAGATAAAAATATTGCATTCTAAATAAGTAGGTAATAATAAATATGAATAATAAGTATGTATCTGTAAAAAAAATATTTATTCACAAAACATTTTGTAAATTTCAGGAAGAGCCCGCCCTAAGTTTGATTTTGTTTCTAATTCGCATGATTTTTGGCCAGTTTTGGGTACACAGAAATTAACTCTATATTTGCGTTTCCATCACTTATTGGTTTATTGTCTTATAAGTTGATTTTAGTTTTAGAATTTGACGTTGATGTTCAATTAACAAATTAACTTGGAAAATAAAAGTACAGTAGAACCCCGGTTATCTGTGGTAATGTGGGGGGCACCTACCTCGGAAAACTGAAAACTCGGATAATCCGAATGTACAGTATATGTATGTATATTTTAGACACTTGGTTAATACGGAGTATGGACGCGTGTACCTTGGAAAACCAGGGTTTTTGGGTCTCTGGACTGGCTCGGTTAATCCAGAGCTTGGATAATTGCTACTCAGATAATCGGGGTTCTACTGTAATTCTTTTTTTTTTTTCTTCAAAACTTTACTTTTTGTACAAAACAATACTACCCAACCCAAGATGTCCAAGTGTCTTCGTTTTTCCTAATAATATAGATAGAAACCCAAAGAATGAGAAACTCCTCAAGAAGATTGATCATGAGGGAATAAATTAGAAAGTCTTACCAAGCCATATGTACCAAATCGATTTGAGTTTAAAGGCCATATACGACAGATTTAGACAAATTTGGGCCTTTGATTCCCTTAGCAGATTCCGTTGCCTGAAGATGGAATGTAAATTGTAAACCCCGAAACTAGTAGCATTATATTAAAGGCTCGATTAAAGGATTGTGAGAAGAGGACTTTTTTGTATTTTATTTCAAAAATACCTGTATTATGTTTTTCAATGTTAGGTACTTATCTAGATATGGTATAATTATAGACAACCATTACATATGAACCAAAAAAGAAATAATGATTGTTTGTGTTTTGAATTTCAATTGTGATTTAAAATGATGATTGTCCTGTTTTAGGTTTAATTATCTCGTAAAATAAGTACAACAAAGAAACAACCATTTTCCGAATTAGGTATATGTGGCAATTACAGTTGATTTAACATGTTTAAAGAAATTGAGTTTTAAGCAAGTCTAATTTGGTATTAGTCCATAAGCTATGATGGTAGAAAAAATCAATACATTGGGGAGCTAATGGTTTACCCAAAACAAAATGACAGCCAGAATATGTATTGCTAAATTTTTCCATTTTTCCAAGCTACAGAATTAATGGCTAATAAATCTAAAAATAATCTGTTTACTGGCCCTTTGTATACGCGTGGAAACCTTTGTCTTATCATGGCCATACATGAGTGAAATAACACAAGAAAATCGCTAGAAAAACATACCAATAAGTCCCAATTAGTCTCTTCCAAGTGCATAATAGCTTCAGCGACGTCTTCGACACCCGTACAGGCCTAAAAACGAAAAAAAATTGTTATTAAAAATCGTCAGTCATGATGGGTTTTATCATCACTTGTGTTTCTGTTAACCATTTTGAAAGCAAAATAAAGGCTGGGAATCTGGGAAATGAGGGATAATTTACCTGGAAATCAGCTAAAATCTCTTCTCTATTCTCGGACATGGTTCGGCTTATATTTGCAACTAATCTTACAAAAGTATAAACTTAATTTTAATGCACACAAATAATTCAACATTCAACATCCAACACTTTTTTGTCCAAGTCCAATGCAAAATTTTGCAAGCAAGAAATTGAAGAAATCGTAATTGTCACTGTCACTACAAAAGTTTGTCTGTCATCGGAGTGACTAGTGAGCTTGTTCACAGAACACAGAGCAACATGGGCTGGACTCCGGATGACACTAGGGTGGTTGGGAAGTGTCGGGACTTGTTCTATAAACGCTCCGAATTGGATTTGACTGTCAAAAACTACGCGCACTGAGTGGTTTCGAAACCGATCGGTATGGTTTTTTTCGCGTTGGATGAAACAGACCTTATATAATACAGGGGCGAGTTCAGAAATAACACACCGGGTGTGAGTGCCATTTCATGGGTGTGCCTGAAATGACAATTCGTAGGCGACAACTTTCGTATGAATTTCTGAACGCTTGGTGTGACCAATCGAGTATCTCCTCAAAAAATTTCACCAAATGTACTAAGATTGCGTGCTCAAAAGCGTCAGCTGAAAAGCGGCTATTGTTGACATAAATACACAAGCACCCGAAGTACTTTCTGAACGGAACAGAGTGCGCGCACTCGGTGTGTCTATAGCCGCTTTCCCAGCTGTGTGCTTCAAGCACGGTGCTGCACAGTGTTCTGTGTTTGAAACGCAAAAGTTAGCAGGCTCTCGAAGCGCAGTACGGCTGAAAAGCGTCAGCTGGAAAGCGGCTTTTAGCATTTATGAACGGCTAGTGCGTCGCACCGGTGTCCCACTCACACCCAGTGTGTCATTCCTGAACTCGCCCCAGCGCTTTCGACTTTTTCCTCAAAACTGCACCAGAAGCGGTTTCACATTTGATATTCGCTCTCGGAGTCCTCTCGCAGAGATCTATGAAATCACTGCCCAGACGGGGAGCGCTCTAGGTCCTTATTTTTGAAACAGGGGAGCAGCGTTCCCAGGAGAACGAGTGTTTTATCTTTGTTACGTTACTTAAGGCCAAGGAGAATACACACTCTAAGGAGTGCTTATCGGCCTCGTTTTTGGTAATCGCTGCCATATTGGTGTGCCACCATTTCCGACGTCATAACTAAGTCGTCAGCTGTTTAAAAAGCCTACTTTAAGGCGAGAAATAGCATGCTGCCCACGTCACAACTGGTATTTTGGCGGGGGGATTTGTTACACGCAGGCCATATGCGGATATGCCATCCTGTAGCCTTAAGGCGACGCTCCGTAAGTCAACCAACTGTGAAACCCCAATTTCAGAAACTGGCAAGATGTTAAATTGGCGAGCGGTGACTTTAGTTTCTGAGTGGGGTCACAGTTTAAAGTATGGGTCTAATTTGCGGGTCGAGAGTAAATAGTAAAACACAGAAATATTGTTATCAATTAAAATAAAGTTTATTTTATTAAAATAATTAATGCTTGTTATTAATTAACAGGGTTCGGTAAAAATATAATCTTATAATTTTGTTAGATTTCTAATAAGCATCAATTAACTGTTAGGAAAATTTATATGATTCCAAGTAAAAATTTTTTATATACAGTTTGACATGATACACACTCTAGCCTTTACAAATTCGGACTGAACAAAAAAACTCTACTTACATTTGACAATAATAAATTTACTGCTGGCTACACCTAATTACATGGAAATCTTATTGGCCTAAAGAATTTACTTTAATTATGAACACTTAATAAAAAAAACACGAATATTTTCGCGCTGTTAATTCGACAACTTTTTCACGCCGTAGTTCTGACTATCTGGACACAGGTCTCTCGATTCTCGATTACTACTTGTTTCTTGGTTACTCATCCGACACTGGTCTTCGACGCCGTTGTTCTGACGGTTTACGTGTTGTTTTTCGAATACTCTTGCCTTTTTATTAGAGATGTGACCGAAGCCGCATAATTATTCGGTATTCGGCCTATTCGGCGCTATTTTTGCTATTCGATATTTGGCCGAATATTCGATCTTCACTACCGAATATTTCATGTTTGGATATTTTAGTGAAATTAGTCAAAATCACTAATTTTTTAACATAAGTATTTTCAATTAATAACAATTCAAAAAATAAAAGAAAATGTAAAAACAAACTTCTAGCGTTAAGGAATTCAATTTAACATAGAATATAATAAAAAAATATTAGTAAGTATAAGTAGAACAATAAGAACAATAGAATAATTAATATCGAATATCAATAAGTGGTAGATTTTGATGTAGAAATACTAATGCTCCGCTCTATCTATCTATAACCGATTCCTTTTTTTCTGCGCTTGAATTATAATATCCCTGACATGCTTCAATAACTATTCGGCCGAATATTTGGTTTAAAATCAGCCGAATATCCGGTATTCGGTTATTCGGCCAAACTACTATTCGTCACATCACTACTTTTTACATCATTCGTCAATCCATTGTCTTGAATCTCTTTATTCTTCCTCGATTTTTCGTGTTGAATCATGCGATCAATTAGTGTATTTGGTCCCCTTTTAATTAATTATCAACGGCGTCGCTAAGTGGTTTGTTAACTGGGTATCATCATATAGGCTCGTGCATGAATTATTGATCCTCTTAGAAGTTTTTCGGCTCCTTTGGAATGTTAATTGTTGAAAGCACTTAAAAAAGGTCCATGAACTTTTGCTTTGGTCACATTCCAATGTATTATAGACAAATATCGGCTTTCAATAATTTCTGGATATCGATGTTCAGAATGTTCAGATAGTTTTTTAATTGGAAATTCCTGGTTGTGCTGTCTAAAGCCGCTTTCCAGCTGACGCTTTTGAGCACGCAATCGAGCTTTTGCGCGCGCAAATGCTTCAAGCGCGTGTTCGTGTTCCAGCCGTACTGCGCTTCGAGAGCTTGCTAACTTTTGCGTTTCAAACACAGAACACTGTGCTGCACCGTGCTTGAAGCACACAGCTGGAAAGCAGCTTAAGTGTTGATCTCTCCTATGCCCACTTGCACCAACCGCAACTTAAATAGGTCTTAGCTAAGTCGGGTCTTAATTTAAAGTTAGCCTTTAATTTAATTCACTTGCACCATAGACAAATTATGCCGACTTGGCAAAGTCGGACTTATTAATTTGGGGCGATGACAACGCTACGAAATGACAGAAGTTGACAAATAGTCTTTAGTAATTTGTGGTTTTTCCGTGTTTGAGTGTTTCTGATTGAGAGTTTCAGCAATGGAAGAACCAAATTCTAAAAAGCAGAGGGGCACGAATTTCACATTAGCATAAAAGGAGGCTTTAATTAATATATTGGCAAGATTTAAAAATATTATTGAAAATAAAAAAACTGATGCTCTATCCATTCATGAAAAAAACGATTTCTGGGAGTATGTACCTATGCAGGAATTTCAATGCTGCTTCACCGGGCATGAGAGAGAAGTTTGGATTCTTCAAAAACTATTATAAGAATCAAAAAGAGGATCTACAGAAACAAAATAAGATATATGTGTTGCACTTATGTTGTTTGTGGTCAGCGGTGCTACCACTTTATCTACACTTGGCTGCGTCGGCTAAGGGTTTATCTTGAAAATTATGGGGGGAAAGGAAAGATTTCACCACTAGTAGTTGATACATCTATTGTTACACCCTAATTTATGTAGGAGATGATTAAATAGGGTCTACCAAAAATAGATCGCAGTTCTATTGTTACACCTTAATTTATGTAGGAGATGATTAAATAGGGTCTACCAAAAATAGATCGCAGTAAATGTTCTTCCCTGGAGGGCCATCATTGACCATTCCCTTGGAATGCCTATTTTTGGAGAAAACCCTACGCTGTCAATAGTACCCAAACAGCCCTATGAAAATGTACCCTCGAGAAGCTTAGTTTCCATAGGTCTAGGTTTGAGGCGTAGAGTGGGGCTTCTACAGCACGACATTCACCTTAGGATCTCAGTCGTACTGTAGCAAGTCACACCCAAGTTGGAGAGAAAGTCTTTAGGCCTGTAGTAGCCTCGAGGAGCTTTAAGGCTGTGGAGACTAACCTCTGCCTGACTGCATTGCGGTGCCCGTAATTTATACAAGAATTATTGCTACCGTCAGCAGAGTCAGTTAATTTTCTGTAGTACAAGCCCAAATTCATTTCATTTTTATAGTCTGTGGGCTTGTAGACCTTTATGAGCTGACAATATGAAAAATTTATATGTTATTACTGGTTATATTATGTTAAGTCGAATTTAAGGCCTAGATTTTGGTGACTTAAGAAAATTCAATTTAAGGCTACTTTAAGTCTAGCTCGACTGCTGGTGCAACTAAAATTTAGAGTTAAGTCCCGGCTTAAAGATAAGTCTGACTTAAGTTAGTCTTAAAATGTTGGTGCAAGTGGCCACTAGTATGGTTGTTTGATAAGTCCTCGTTATTCTTGATTAATTTTCGGTAGTTGGATCCTAGGTCTTTAGTTGTTTAGAATAATCAGAACCTTTAATTGTTTTCTTGATGGTTTATTTCCGCCTCACTACACAAGATTCTTGGTTTTTCCGGTTCCCGTTCTGTTTCGGCTTGTTTTCAATTTGTGACATTTGTTTGTTAAGGTTTAAAGTCAACCCCTATTTTCTGAACCTTGTGTTCAAAAATTCCAAAAAAAATATATGTTTTATGGTTATCGATATACTTTAATCCACAATTTTTTTAAGCAAATTTGAGTAATTTGACTCGCCATTTTTGAGTTATATCGCAAAAACTGAAAAAAAAGTTGTTTTTCACCATTTATTTCAAAACGAATAGATGAAGATTCGCATTATTTTTATTACGAACTACTATTGCAATTCTACGCGACATATATTTTTTTCAAATTTTTTGATATATAGTTTTCTCGCTACTACAAAAATAGTTGGAAATAAGCCCGTAGCTACACTGTTTAGAAAAAAATGCGACGGATGAACGTTCAAAATTATTTGCGTTGGTCGAAACTACAACCCTGTTTATGTAAAACAGAATAATACTTCGAATTTCCACCAAAAAAAGAAAAAAACGTTCCATCACACAATTTAACCAAATGAAGATTTCTATTTTTTTTTTTGACAGTTAAATTAGGGCACACTATAGGGGCGACAGCATTGACATTTATTTATTTATTGAAACAAC